CAAAACCCATGACCTCATAACAAGGTCATGTACTAAACATAAATCATATTTGCAAGGCATACCTGCAAGGCACACTTGCAAGGGATACTTGCCAGGCATACATCCTATGACTCATATTCGAGTCATGTGCGAAACATATCAAGCCATAACATAACAAATCATATGACTCAACCATGTCATATGCGCAAAACAATAACATACCTATGACTCATAATTATGCGTCATGTGAAAACCTTTTCCATGCCAAGCCATATTTGTGACAATATCTTTGAATAGTTTCATTCATGCTAGACATGAACAGATTTGTGTATTTAAAGACCGCCTAATTCCACAATGGAAACAGCAGACTTTGACAGATAGTATTTCAATATACTTGGTTGAATGGTTACTTTATAGTTTTCTCAGTACACCCTCGAAGCCTTCTTTAGTTCTCAGCTCTCATCTTCTCTCTGGTAGAGCAGGCCACCTGCCAACTATCATACCTATCACCGATAACGTGACTAGCACCTTGCGAACATGTCACAGTTCTTAAAGACTTAGTTCCCAATGGTTTGTTCTAGTTATTAGTTACTCACTTATGATTGATCTTTTACTATTCAGATACTGATATCTGATATAACAGATATGTACACACAGGATTCAGTGGGTATAGGGCATGTGGTTTAGTGGTTATCGAGATATCACATTGGTAAGATACTTGGTTTGACAGATATCTGGAGATATGGGGAAAGGGCAACTGGTTTGATGGAGATACTCATATGGCCAAGTTGAAGCCGGACTCTTTATATGGGAATTGTCACTTTAGGTATCTGGCTTCAACTTGGCCATGTGAGTAATAAAATGTGCAGCTAGTTGAATGTTTAAGAAATGATCACCACCAAGACTTGTGCCATTAGCCGGTTGCTAGGTGCGCCTAACTTCGGGATGCGCCTTATTTCTGGAATTTTACGGTATACTTGCAAGAGTACAGTACTCGAACAGGGATGAATGGACGATCAAGTAAGCAAGTGGCTTAGCCCCCACACCAACATGCGCCATCTGGGGTAAACTTAAAATTATGATACAGTTACAGTCTTCACCGGCGGAGCATGGAGAAACTTGGCGGGTGGCGAACAGGGTGAAGTATGATAACAAAAGGATTTCCCTTGTAAATGATCCCTGTTCGCCATCCGCGCAGTTTTGCCATGCCCCCGATGAAGATGCACCCGAGTAAGTTAGGTTTCATAGATGACCAGCAGACCGACCAGGAGGGTGATGTTGGTTATTACTACTCACAACCTGACAAGGAGAATTTTCAGCCGGGTGGGTGCTGGAAAAGGGAATTGAGCGCCTTGTGATAGGTTGGTGATACCCTTTTCTATGCGAGAGCACGCACTCAAAAAAAAAAAGCTTCCTTTAGTGGCGTCCCGGTGAGATCTTGTTTGAACCTTGCCTCAAAGATTTGCGCGGTTTGAAAAAAAAAAAAAAAGAAACATCCGCCGATCATGATGGGAGGGAAGAAATCTACGATTCTGGGAAGGTACCCGAAGACGTCAGGTTCCGAAGATGATGGGAAAAGCAAAATCTGAGACAATGATAGGCCTGCGAAAAAGTATGATACCGTAATACTTTCAACTTGACATTGCTTGCTGTCCTACAGGCACTCGTACTGGTACTCGAGTAAAGACGCGGAGGGATAGGAGTGGTGGCGAGTCGCCCAAGTAGATTGAAGTGAACTTCTCTAGTTCTTTTGTCCTAGGCCCCGGAGCACTCATATTGTACGTACAGTACGAGTACAGTACCAGTACTTTAAAAACTGGAATAGTTGGACTTCACGCTAAAGTATCCAGAATTTCCTCCATTGGCTTAGGGGAGACAGCGGAAAAAACTATCATTCAGTCCTCAGCTAAGACAAGTAAAAAGAAAAATGCGATAGACCTTACCAGGAGTGGCAACTCCAACGTCCCAGCTTGAGGTCAAATTATTCCAGCTTCCACGGGCATTCTTGACAGCAGTATTGTAGCTACCCCGACTAGGGCAGGAGACGTGAGCTACTGTGTCGTTCTCTGGGCGAAATAATTTGGCTAGGTGCCAGTCCGGAGTACCGTTCTGCAGTACCAAGATCCAGTATCGCAGCCCACAATAGTTAGGGAGGGGGTGTAGGTATCATAATGTGGTCCCAGGTTCTCGTTCCCCTTCCTTCCATGCTTCACTCGTGATATACGATGAGTTTCCGTACCGTAGTCGACGAACACCAAGAAAGGATGGCGAGTTTCCATGAATCCCTCCCTCCGCACTCAAATTACCGTAAAAATGTACAAACTACTCGAGCACTCGAGTACTCCATCAGCCTGCTGCGCCAGTTTCCCCAACCTGCTGCGGTTCTCCGTGCACCAAGGCCGAGGCACAAGCAAACAAAGAGGTTCCGTCCCACCGCATCCCCATGATATTATCGGTACCTTACCGACAGTAACTCTGGAGGGTGCTAGGGAAGTTCGGGCCCGCACGCAGGCGCTCGCACGACAACCCAGAGAGTTTCCCGCACTCATTTGCGGGTAAGGTCAGGGTGAGTTTCATCCAGACGCACCGAATGAAAAGTACTTGTATTATACTTGAGTATAATAGAAGCGAGTACTCGTATCATACATTGACAGGGAAGCGATGGAAGCCTGGGGTCTGGGGTTTTTGGCTCACTGCGCTGCAGTTACCGGGGGTGTGAGCCGTTGTCTGGCTTGATCAGCAGCGCTTTTTGCAAGATTGGTGAGCTTGCCGGGTGGTTGACGGGTCTGTGGATGGATAGAGTAAATGCTCCGGAAGGGATCTGAGTTCCCAACCCGATTTGATGGGTTGTAAGAGTACTGTACTGGGTGCGGGGGTGGATTTCTGGAATTAACTCATTAATTTTATAATTATAATATTATCATCAAGATTTAATTTCATTCTATTATGGCGGACACGCTCCGCGGGGTGGGAGTAGAAAGGGATTCGTCCTGTTGCCGTTGTTTCTGGGGCGGTCTCCGGTGTTCGACAGGAGGGAAGAGAGGACATGTGTTTGGGAGTTAAATGTCTTCACGTTTGGGGACTAGCGCGGCCCCACTAACACATGCTTTGGATAAACCCTTCTCCCCATTGGTGATCCGTACTCGTATACCAAGGATGACAGGTATTTCTTGTCACAACTTCCTAAAACGGGAACCACCGGCACAAGTAGTGGAATGACCAAACGGGAAGGAAAAGGTTCCTCCCTTCAATGTACCATTTCAGCGGCACAACGTGAGTGCGGTGCAGTTCATACTCCAGTCTGCGATGCAGTTTGCATGTATGGTAGGGGCAGAGGGAGAGGATACTCGAGTACTGTGTAGGTGTAGGCGAATTGATAGACCAAAACACTTATGGATTAGTACAAGTACAGGTAGTGTGGAAATGGGAAAAACCTTTAAGGCTAGATGTGACGGTGAACATAGTCTAATAATACCACATTAACGTAAACATACCTATCACTATTACATCTAGCATTCCGATCTGCTGCAGCTACTGAGTTCAATTGGGAAAACGTAGAAATCGTCTGCTATTCTGAGGCCTTCCATATTAAGCACGTCCAGGGTCATGGAGCCCTTCGTCTGATCATCTGTGAAACCCCGGCCATGCGATTAAAGATTTACGACCCCAGTGAGTGGAAGGTTGGTTCAATGACCAGCATGCGAGCCAATATCATACCAGCGCATGGCACCAGAACCTGCCCGGGAAACGGATGCAGTACCGCTACTTATTAGAATGTGCACCTCTTGGCGATGCCTTACGTATACTGTCGTTTTAGCAGTCTCGGTGCAGGCTAAACCCAACCAAAACAGTAAAGACGGTGAAGCGTGAGTGTCCTTATTACCCTCCCCTTGTAGCACTCTACCAGTACTACGAAAACCATTCGGGTATGTACAGATAAACTAGTGGGTATCTGTATTCTGCCTTGCTTGATGCCTTTCTCCTCTGGACCCTCTTGATAGCGATCAAATAAACTTTAATCGCGAGGATTCGGAGTAATTCCGTCCTACAGTGCTACAAACGTGAGGGTAATCTTTTCTTGTCTTTTTTTTTTTTTTTTTTCATTTTTTTTTTTTTTAGGGCATTGCATCTACGACACGCATCCAATAAGTAGGATGGGGGGGTCAATGGTGATGCGACACTACTCCCTCAAGTCCTGTATAGTACTCGCAGAATGCAGGTCTTCAGATGCACCTCAGTCGGTTGACCACTTGTCCAAGTTTCACAAACTCTAAGGGCCAATTCTCGGTCCACTTCATCGAGAAATTTTCTGACCCTTTAGAAAAGCAAGGGTCTCGAGAGCTTTCAAAGATCGGCCGTGTAACGAGACAGAGAGAGGGGGAAAGAGGGGGAAAGAGAGAGTGCGTGCAGACGATAACACTAGACCGGGAAAGGAAGCACGGAGTGAGCACCAGAGGCGTTACTCGCTCGATAGATCATACCATAGAGATCCTTACAGTACGCTGCTCAGAAGTTATCATAAGGTACTGTATCATGGTAATGAGTTTGGCCTGCCTAGAAATTTTGTATGGTGTACCTGGCCATTAGTAAAGTATTTGGACGCTCCATACCAAGACAGGTATTTACAGTATCAAACCAATGTGTCCAGGTACTTTGTGAATGACCAAGTAGCTTGCTCCTGCTACTGCTGCTACTGTGGCCTGGGTCCGCCCTCCCCCCATCCACCCATCTCTGGAACGTAGTTTGCTCCACCCAAAGTCATCTCGCCCCCCCTTCCCTGCTTTACCTGCTCTACCGGTCATATTTAAACCCTCCCCCCCACGAGTGCCGGGTTTCGCTTTCCTCCCGCCCTTCTCTCCCACCACTTTACCTTCCTCACCATTTCTCCCTCCTGATTCCTTCTGTTTACTCCTCTCCCCCCTGCTCACGTAGCGGGACAGAAGCGATCCGACAGGAAGGAAGAAGCATCAAACATCAAACACCAAACATCGAGTTGGGCCACAAGCTAGTAATTGCCCATCATGTCTGAGAAGGATACAGCTCCCGCATACTCTCCCAACACGGAAGCCGGGGAGATTGCGACAGCTTCACCACCATCAAGAGGGTTTATTGGAGATCTTATTGATGGGTTCAAGCCCCATCCTGTCCACACGTCCAGGAAGAAGGCGGCGGCTGCTGATGCCGGTCACTTTGATATTGAGCAGGCCGCATTGAATGTTGCCGAGTCCCCTCTTTCGAGGAAGCTGAAGGGAAGGCATTTGCAGATGATTGCTATTGGTGGCTCCATTGGCACTGGTCTTTTTGTCGGATCCGGTAGCGCTCTGAGCACTGGTGGTCCCGCATCACTACTTATCGCTTTCGCCCTCATTGGAGCCATGTTGTTCTGTGTCGTTCACGCTCTTGGTGAAATGGCCGTCTTGTTCCCGGTTGCTGGTTCTTTCTCTGCCTACTCTACTAGATTTCTAGATCCAGCTTGGGGTTTCGCCATGGGATGGAAGTAAGAAATATCCCTGCTCCCTCCTGTTTTCTAATCAATTATTGGATGGTTTGCTAACTATTTCTGGAAATTTAGTTACGCGATGCAATGGCTTATCGTTTTACCGCTCGAAATTGTCGCTGCTACGATCACTATCGAATACTGGAATTCACCCGTCAATAAGGCTGTTTGGGTCACTATTTTCTGGATCTTGATTGTCGCCATCAATATGTTCGGGGTCAAGGGTTATGGTGAAGCAGAATTCGTTTTCTCGCTCATCAAGATTATCGCCGTCATCGGTTTCATGTAAGACATTTTAACTCCGAAAGCCGCCCACTTGGGAACGGCGTGCTAATTGACCACAGCATCCTCGGCATTGTGATTAACTGTGGAGGTGCTCCTAAGGGTGGATACATCGGGGGCGCGTACTGGAAAGATCCCGGAGCCTTCAACCACGGGTTCAAGGGCCTCTGCAGTGTATTTGTTACGGCGGCCTTCGCTTTTGCTGGAACCGAATTGGTCGGTCTTGCCGCTGCCGAAACTGCCAATCCCCGCAAGTCTCTCCCCACCGCCGTCAAGCAGGTTTTCTGGCGTATCACCCTCTTCTACATCGTCTCCCTTACCCTCATTGGATTGCTCGTTAAGCACACCGATACCCGCCTCCTCAGTGGAAGCTCGAGCGCTGATGCAAAGGCCTCTCCTTTCGTCATTGCCATTAACGATGCAGGAATTAAAGTCCTCCCCTCAATCATGAACGTTGTCATCATGATTGCCGTCCTTTCCGTCGGTAACTCTTCTGTCTACGGTTCCTCGCGTACTCTTGCTGCTTTGGCCGAACAAGGTCAAGCCCCCCGTATCTTCGCCTTCATTGATCGCCGCGGTCGTCCCATGGTCGGTATTGCGCTTTCCGCAGCGCTCGGCCTCCTTGGTTACCTCGCCGCCTCGGATAAACAGGGCGAGGCATTCACATGGATGCTGGCCATTTCCGGATTGTCCTCCATCTTCACCTGGGGATCCATCTGTCTCGCACATATTCGTTTCCGTCAAGGATGGAAGAAGCAGGGTCACACACTTGACGAGCTGGCATACACCTCACAACCCGGATACATTGGATCGTGGCTCGGATTCCTCCTCAACTGTCTCGTCCTTGTCGCTCAATTCTGGGTTGCCGTTTGGCCCATTGGTAAAGAGCCCAGCGCTCGTGGCTTTTTTTCTGTTTACCTTGCTGTTCCTATCGTCCTTTCCTTCTACGTCCCCTACAAGTTTTACTTTAAGACTCCATTCATCCACTCAATGAGCATGGACCTTGTCTCTGGACGTAGAGAACTCGACCTCGAACGGATCCTTGCAGAGGAACGCGCGGAGAGAGCCTCCTGGCCCGCGTGGAAGAGATAGTAGGGTTTCCTTCTAACCACATTCCTCATCTCCCTTATTAGGACACGAATAAGCTAACAATACGTCATAGTTACAAACTCTTTTGTTAAAATAGACTAGCGTTTGCTTTTATGTTTGCGCTTGCTTTTTTGCTTTTCCCCCCCTTCATAGTTAATTCCTATTTTCTTTTTCTTTTTATCACCCTTCATACCTGTTTGCCGGTTGGAAGGTTTTTTTTTTTCCCTTTCTCCAGATGTTCCTATGCTGTGCTATGTTGGATAACCATATCCGGGTTTTGCCTTCTCATCTTAGAATTGAATGATGGGAAAATGAGAAGGGACGATGTAACGAGAGAATGAGCGGAAAAAGGTGATCCACCAAGTCAACTCCTATGACTGCGTGTGTTTTGTGGATAAGTTAAGATGGGAGTGGAGTGAAACGACTAGTCTATCTAATCAATGTACGATATTTACACCATGCCATTTCACTATCCCGGTGATGAAGCAATCTAAGATCCCGCGATCACCCCCACGCAATCGGGAGGGGGGCAGACCTGATAGGAAAGTTAACAGAAAGCGGTAAGTTCACCCCGCCCGCTCGCGTGCTCACCGTGCTTCGCAGTTACGCGGGGTAAATTAGTCTATCCCGCACTCTGATACGACCAGCAGATACTGGTAGATAAGCTTTAGAAGGATGTCAACCACAGGAGGGCAGATTATCGCTCTCTCCTCGCCTTGTTTATCCCGTCTGATTCTATCGTCGCATGGCGTAGGCGTGATGTCACGTAGGTGTGGGGCTTATCGTACTCGCGCATACTGGTATCGTACTGTACGATTACTGCTGTACCCGAGGACCGACACTGTTAGTGCTATTATTGAAGCACGAGGTTTTGGAAATCCGCGGGGTGAGCCTGGAGGATAGCGTACGGCATCTATTATACGGTAATCGGCACTGTAGTCAGAAGGACTTGCCGTGATCGGAGCATGGAGACCCGTTCGGTCTGGACTCGTTGGGCCTAAGTTACCACTGTTTGGCCTGTGAAAGTTGGTACCGGTATTGCGCCGTCTTGGTAATTGTGAGAATACGGATGGAGTGCTTGAGTGGGGAAGGAGTAAGTTTGAGTGCTTCGATAGCTACTCGTACAGTATATATACAACTGGTGTCGGGATTTGCCTTGTAGCGATGGCTAGCCTCATCATCAGTGGAGGAGGGGTCTCGTCCTAATTCTTTAGAGCGAAGGGGTGCTCGTACATAGTCTGGGTATAGTACCATACCCCAAACTCAATCTAGTTAATGTTACAAAGTGAAAAACTAAAAAAAAAAACCTTCTCGATAACAAGTACAGTACCCTTTAGATGAAAGAGAAAAAAAACACCCAAACCATTAGCAAGGAACAAGCAAGGCCTGGCACTCACACAGTTCATCCCATGCCTCCAAGCCAGAAGCGCTGCTGGGGGGCGGGGGCATCTTAACACCTGGCATGTAAATCTGGGATCTCCAGATCTCATGTAAATGCGCTGGTACCCAGTATACCCGACCGGATTACTCTTCAAAGGACCCCCGCCGCTACAGCCTTATCTCGCTCCTGCCACCATTCCCGGGAGCGCAATGCCCGGTCCGGTGCGAATGGATTGTTTACATATATACCATTCACACACATCACCGGTTTGTTGGGATTTGTAGCGCCCGGGTTCATATGGATCCGGTCACTTTTGTCACACGTTACAGTACCGTACATATGTGGGGGCTGCATCGTAGGCGGACCCTGCCTACAAGTTGCCGCTCACCGAGCAGCCCGCAAGAGACGGTCAGCATTCCTCCCGCATGGGATGGTTATAGGCTCGTTGGGTGGGTGGGTGAGTGGGTATTCCATACCCGGGCGGTATCCAAAGTTCCATGCAGACGATAAATTTATGATAGCAAGATCGAATGCATAAGTGAGCTGTGTCGAGTCAGGTGAGGGGTTCAAGAGTTTTCATGGGTGGTCACTCGGGTGATCGGCTATGGTATATCTACAGGGTTGCGATGTGTGTGTGAGGTGGGGGGGAGTTGCGGCTGCAGACATCTCCCCACCCACTTCCAACTTCAACCCCTGCTCTGGCTTACTTTTCATTATTGATACTCTCGCAGGGGCTCAAGCTATGAGGAAATATCTGCGAGCCTGGGAAAGCAAGTCCCTCGCAAAGTCTGCAGTGAGTCCCTCCCTCCTTCCTACCTCGGATTGTGTGATGAGCGAGACAGCGCTGCCTGAATAGATATCACAGAACATCCAGAACCCCTGTATAATACAAGTATGATACAAATTTAGATTTTGCAAGATATGTTGGAAAAAAAAAAAAAAAAATAGTTAGATATATCATAGATAGGAGCATAACTAATTCGATCTCAAAAACCAATCACGCTAATCCTCCTCTTGCGAAAAAGAAAAAAAAAATTCCCCACCAACTCTCCGCATCACTCTTCTCACCGATACTATTATATAAACACCGAAACTTCCGAGATTCCCAGAGAATTATATATAAAAGCCATCAATTCCTTCCTCCTCCTCATCATATTGTCAATCGCGCCAAGCTAGTTCTCCAATCCGGTGGGAAAGAGTGTTAGTTCCCGAATGATCGGTAGCAGATTAGAGAGATAGAGAAATGCGGGGGAATTTATCATTTCCCCCGCCACATTTAGACATCCGCTCCCCGCTCTTTTGGACTTTCAGACTTCCTTCCTCGAACAATAAATGCAGCGGTCGTTGGGGTCCGACAGTGAATAAGTTTCTGCGTATGGGTGAATGAGTCGATATGGATATCAGGGAGGATGGATGGCATAAATTCTTTTTTTTACATGATGAATGGTTGGCGAGACCTGCTGGAGTGTCATGGCACGGTTCCGGTACGCTAGGGCCTGTTGCACAAGGTATCTGTCATGACCTTCGAACAAATGCCCGGAGTCGGATTAGCTTTATTGGAGAGTTCCTGGGAAGCGGAGGGTCTGGTATATGCTTCGATACGAGGAAGATCGGGTGATTAATATCTGGGAATAGGTGCTTCAATTGGGGTTGAAAAATTGGGTGTGGTGAGGTATGATAGATCTTCTGGTATGGTACGATATCCCATGAGACCGTACGCTTCGCCCGTCGCATAGGCTGGAAAAGATAAACTCTCGCCTTGAAGGTTAGGTCTGAAGAAAAAGTGTTTTCTCCGTGCCCGGTCTGGGTGCCATGGTATGTAACTTTGAGCTTTTTTGCCAACTCAATGGCAACACGATACCACCTCATGATGAATACTATTTCAGCAGGGCGAGGTTGAGGTAGGGTTGCCAACTCAATAGTATGATACACCCTTCGACAGGATATGTGTTTGATTTCACACCAATGGCCAAAATTTGCGCCATTCTTACAGCAATGGGCTCAATGGTAATTTGTGAGAAGATGTGGACCGGTCCAGGATTTTTTGTATTCTTCATGAGTATGTGGGATGTCTCCCCCCCCCCACCTCCCCAAATGTTTTCTCTTCTCACCAACACTTCTATCTCGCACACATCGACTCCACAAGTACCTCCTGCCCGCCAAGTGTGAGCCTCAAAATTCAGGTAATCAAACATATCTTTACACATCAACACTTCTAGTTGCCCCAAAGTATACCTCATCCCCTCTAAACTGCTGACACAAAACTAACTCCCGAGATCCAGTAATGAGTGAAAACGCCCAACTCCGCGCCCGCATCCGTGAGCTCGAGTACATAGTCGAGGAAAGCCGCGAGGACGCAAAACGCATTCATCAGTTCTCTGTCCAGCAGAAACAGTACTATCGGAGCCTCATTGACTACCAGGACCACAGGCTCAGGGCGCAAGAAGTTCAGATCAAGAGTCAGGAAGCTAAAATCCAGAACATGATGGAAAAGCATGCCAGTCATTGTGAGGACATGAGTAGGCAGATGAGATTCTTGGAGGGGATCGCATATGGGGGGGATGAGACCCCTGAAGTTGAAAAAGAGGGAGTTTACCGTTGGGAGTATTCAGCTGAGGACGCTCACGAAGCAGAATCCAAACTTGCCCCCAGAGAGAAAATCCAAAGTGGGCCTCCAGCTACCAGAAATCTCACCAGCAATCTTGATGAGGAGGGGTATCATGGACCTGCAGACCTGCCGGTTTCTCCTGTCGTTCCATCAAGGGCTCCACCCAGTCCCCGGGATACATATATGCATGACATCGAATTACTCCGGCAGATAGGTATTGATTTATTTCCCGAGTGCCCTGCTGAGATCTCCCCTCAAGAGCCGCAAGCAACTACACACCAGCCTAACGGCTGGCGCAACAATCAGGAACAATTCTCCCAAGATCTCACTGAGATGAGGGGCGCTCCTGGACCTGTATCACCCCTGCCCCCATCCAAAGGTCCCGGACGCAGTACAGAAGAATCTACCCAAGGGTATAAAGGAAGCGTTCGTGGGACAATCCATAGAGGCCATCGTTCAACCCACTCCACTGAAATCCGTGGAAGCGGGGGAAGAATTTCCGGAAGTTTCGAGAAGCCAAAGTCTCACAAGATAAGAGGCAGTTGTGAGATTCCTAGAAAGGAGAAACTGAATGCTCGTCCCTATTAGAGTGGAGTATAGCGGGAAAACTGGAGACATGATAGATCTGAGAGAGGGGAGGTTAACTAGGCCTGAGTAGATAGACGAGCCAGTTTGTATTAGTGGTAAAGCTAACAGGAAACAACTAAAATTAGTTGATTGGTCCTTTCCAAGATAAATGTATCATAGGAGACTTTTGGGTTAATCAGAAGTGGTAGCTTTATCTCCAATCAATCAATCAATCAAACCAAGTGTTCCCCTGGCCATTCAATGGTTGATATCTCCTCTAGGGTGACTTCCTGCACACTTATCAACTCATATCAAAATGCAGAAAGCGCATATTAAGTTTAGCTCCCTAAATGTAGATGCAGTCCCACTGCCCCCCCTAATACCCTCAGGCTTACCACCGTGATTCTGTTGTGAGGGCAAAAGTGGTTTCAGTAGGGAGAACTGAGCTCCCTATAGGAGTTTTTGTGTGGTAGCGCAGAATAGAACCAGCTTAAACAAACACTGAAGCAAAAAAACTGAGTACCAAAATGTAAACTTGATTGAAACCATCACAGCCAAAAAAAAAAACTAGGTTACCTCGTAAGCTATCCCGCACTATGCAAATGGTGGACCCCAAGGCCATGTTTTATGATACCTTCGTCCAACCTACTACAAATTGAGTCGAAGAGACGTATATTTCGTGACATGAAATCTATGAAACAGTTCCCCACGCATAAAGGTTTTTCACCCCTTCCAGTACCGTATCTGCCAAGACCCAGAGAACAGCAGCTTGTGGAAGGGGATTGAGTGAGAGCATATGAGTTGGCATACGGTATTTTAGCTGAATAAGCGCCCATTCCTCCGTTCACCTTCCCCTCCATCAACCAAGTCGTGGTTACCCGGCAAACATGCATAGAAACCAAATTCTCTGGATCTATGACTTCATTGTCAACAACCCCACCATGCTTCAACAACGAATACTTCGAACCCCCTCATTAATATACCACATTAGGCCGGGCCTCATCCGCCGAATACATACTCCGCCGTTACGATGCGCCGCACGGATACCTTTTTCGATGTCTCCCCGATTGCCAATTGACCGAAGGATTCAGACGAGAGAGTTTCACATTAATGTCCGGAAGTTAAAAAATCATCATTTCGACACGCTAAAGTTTGTACAGCGGTTACAGGAAGAAGGGCTCTCGGAGGAACAGAGTGTTGCGTTGATGAGAGCTATGAGCGATGTTATTGAAGAGAGGTTTGTTACCCCAGTACATGACTGATCCACAACTAACCGGATCCCTAGCATACAAAATTTGACGAGAACTCTGGTGCTAAAGGAAGATCAAGAAAAGATAACATATAATCGTATCATACTTTCCACCGCCATTTACTCAACACTACACTGGCTAATGTCCTACCAGAAAAGGTTGACTTCTCGAAACTTCGCAGCGAGCTTACGAACGTGCATGCCTCGGAACTAAAGCCACTCCGCACAGACCAGGAACGCTTAACCTCTGAAATCTCCCGTCTAAACGCTCGACTTCGCGAGGAAATACAACGTGCCCAAAGCAGCGTTCGGCTCGACTTGAACCTTGAGAAGGGGAGAATCAGAGAGGAGAGCTCAGTGCATGAGCTAAAGATCAAAGAGACGGATACTAGGATTGAGAAGGAGGTTGGAGACCTTCGGGGAGTCCTAGAAGGGGTCAAATTTTCAACATTACAATGGCTAATTGGCGTTTGCACCGTGAGTTGGGCTTCATGACACCAAGAAAAGGGGTGTTAGGGACTAACGGTATCTTAGGGAACTGCGGCATTGTTGTTGGGTGTTTGGAGGTTGCTTGCGTAATACTGGTGATGCAAAACTGTGGGCAATTGTGTTTGCTCGTTTGACTGTAAAAATGCTTGTCGTGCACATCTCCAGCCCCGGATTTGTATAATCAGCTGCCAATAGAGCTTGTCTCGCTCCTTTCGCCAGTTTTTCGAGCGATGTTCTCTGTCGTGCATAGTGCCTTCCCCAGGGAAACCATACACCTACCACCTCTACTAATTTCCAAACATGACCAAAAGTCTGCGCCAAAGACCTAAAGACCCAGCAATCGCTTAATCAAATCCCGGTTATCTTTGGCTCCATAGCACCCCGCGGAAACACCCCTTCTTCGCTAGTCGATTTCCAAGCATTGTTCACACCTTACTCGTACCATGAGTCAGTACGAGTACTCTAGAGGTTGGCTACTACCCTGGTCTGTCAGAGTAAGGGCACCCCGTACGGTACAGCAGCCCTTCTCTGCCAATAAGGAGGTTTTGATAAGAGTGTCGTAGGTTGGACAGTTTTATCACACAGCATCACCACTAACCTTGCCCAAAACACAATAGTACTTGGTGGCAGAGCATTGACAGTCTTAAGAACTGTTCTTAAACATGACAGTCCAGTCGTCCTCAGCGATACGGCGGAAAGACAAGCTCAATTCTAAATAAGCTCTTGTGCAATTCAAGCCTTACACTAAAAACGGGGATATCGCCGACACACAATGTAATTCTTGGAACAAATTTGTGAGTCAGTGATTTTCCGGCATTGACTCCTCGATGCATCGCGGGTAAAACTAAGGGATTCAAGAATCTGACATCACATTCTGTTCGGTAATCGACAATCGACAATCTACCGTTACTGTATGTCTGGTTGGCGAGTCTCCGGGGTTGAACATGTTTGGTGATATTGAACCGGCGTTCGTCCCTAGAGTATGATAAGTTGGCTAAGCTTTTCTGGAGTCGTTTATTTTGTTTATTTACACCATGATTGGTTATATGAGCTCTCGTCCCATTTGGTACCGGCTTCTTGAGAGAAGAGCATCGCATGGATAATTTATATCTCCGCGCAGTCCGCGATACATTAGTCTAACCATAAATAAAAGAAGAAAAAGCAACCCATCACAAATTACGATAATAACCCCAGTAACCCAGTGTTTGTTGTTGTTTTTCCATTCCCGACCCTGCTTCAATAGCCCCCCCTCCACACCACCCCACACAGAGTTACCCGCTCCACCACTTACTCGTACCCAGCCAACCAACTGAAACATCTGTAGCCTCCCCGTTTTGGAAGGGGAACTTTATTTTGTTGACCGAGCGAAAGAAAGAACGAGCGAACCCCTCCTTCCTTCCCCCTGCGACCGTTACCTACATCCCACCCTCCTCCCGCTAGAAAGCGCACTCCGCCTTTCTCTTCCTGTCTTCTCCTCCACCTCACGACTACCACGAGAATTGTCGGAAAAAAGGGCAATTTGAAGGGGGTAATGGCCAGCAGTCGCTATTCTACCAAGAGCTATCGGGGAGGTGTCGGTGGTGATGACGGGTACGTGGCCACTAACGAGCTGGTGGACCCGGAGACGCTGTATACCAAGCAGAACCAGATTGGTAAAAATTTCTCTCTTCCTTACTCTTACACCCACCGTCTTGTTTGACTGACAGGTGTCCTGGTGTTGTTTTAGGGGGGGGTAGTTTTGGCAAGGTTTACAAGGGGTAAGCCTAGGTCCCTACTCACAACGAACGAAACGAAGGGAGGGACAAGCAGAGAGGCAAGCGGAGAGGAGAAGAGGCTCACGCGGAACTTGTGTGCACAGGGTCGATAAACGCAGCGGCCAATCGGTAGCCATTAAGGTCATCGACGTTGAGAATGCCGAAGACGAGGTCGACGATATTATTCAGGAGATCAACATCCTCTCAGAACTGCACTCCCCGTATGTCACGAAATATTATGGGTCGTATCTTAAAGGCTCGGATCTGTGGATCATCATGGAGTATTGTTCCGGCGGCAGTTGTGGAGATCTGATGAAACCAGGGGTCATAGCGGAGGATTATATTACGATCATCATCAGAGAGTTGCTAATGGGGTTGGAATACCTTCACAGCGACAACAAGCTACATCGGGATATTAAAGGTGGGTTCTTACCTTTTCTTAGCTTGTTTGTCTTAGCGAATGTGTTGTCTTAGGTTGTCTAACCCCTTTCGTTTCGTCTAGCTGCGAATGTTTTATTAGGTTCCAACGGACAGGTCAAACTCGCGGATTTCGGTGTCTCCGGACAGCTTACAGCTACCATGACTAAGAAGAATACTTTTGTCGGAACACCTTTTTGGATGGCTCCGGAGGTTATCAAGCAGTCGGGATACGATCAGAAAGCGGACATCTGGTCCTTAGGGATTACGGCTATAGAATTGGCCCTAGGGGAGCCCCCTTACTCGGATATCCATCCAATGAAAGTTCTGTTCTTAATTCCAAAAAATCCACCGCCAGTTCTCGAAGGCAACTTTTCCGACAAGTTCAAAGAGTTTGTCTCCCAGTGTTTACAGCGAGACCCGCGGGATCGCCCAACGGCAAAAGATCTACTGAGACATCCCTTCGTCAGGAGGGCAAAGAAGACGACCTACTTGACCGAATTGATTGAGCGTCACGAACGTTGGGTTATTGAGAACGGAAATAAGGATAAAAACATGGATGATGACGCAAGTTCAAGGATGGATAGTACCATAGATAGCAGGTCTACGGACGATTCGGATGCGGAGAGCGATCTCTGGGATTTTGGGACTGTCAGGGCCGTCGGAGGTAGCCGCAATCCCGGCTTGAGTAGCTTATCTCCGGCGGCCGCCAATATGCGGTATGTTGCACAGAGCGTTGATCAAGATTACGGCGAACAAGCCAGGTCCAAGGTTGGAAGACGCCCGGTTTCCCCTCCAATGACAGGCCCTCCCGTTCCCCCTCGGTTGCCCGGGAACCCCTCCCCTACCAGGGACGTGCCGCCGGCTGCCCCACCTCACGGGCACGGAGGAACCAAGGATTCTGGGTACGCTTCTTCGGGGACGGTACGGGGTCTGAGCCGTCCGGCGTCTTACCAGTCGCTTCCACCCACCACGGCGAGCCAAGACTCCCCACCTCCCTATAAATTCCAACAACAAAATTTACAATCACAGCCGATATCGCCTCCTCGTAGACCAAACTTTACGCCAGCCCAGACACCTCGTCAGAGAGAGATGAGCGTGGATGAGACTGATAGAAGTATCCAGGCAGAGCTTGCTCAAGATATGGGTTGGATGAAACTAGCTCGTAACCAAGGTCCTGTTAATGGAATCGTTAGCGTTCCAGCATCTATTCCGATGTCAAAAGGTATTACTGGTGAAGGTAGGATAGAAGTTGAATTGAATTCGGGAGTGTCGACTCCTACCAATGCATATAGAGATCCCAGACAAGTGTTTCCGCCTCTTCACCCTCCCCTTCACCCACCGCAGATGGCAAGGCAAAGCTCCAACGATATCGCTCAGGAGCAGATGAGAAGACAGATGCAGCATCAGCAAATGCAACCTCATAAGATGCCCGCGATTGGCCCTCCACCGGGATTACATCACCCCCGGCTCCAGCAACCACCTCAGCCACCCTCTCACCACCATATCAACAATGGCATTAATCATCATCAACTCCCTCAACTCCCACCTCCTCAACAACACCAACTGCACCAACAACATCTTCCTCGTCAGATGACGCCTAATCATAAGGAGGCAACACCTGAGCCCCCAGAGCTTACTGCGCTTGACGGCGTTATCCTTCCTGCATTAGAAGCAGCCCTCCAACGCCGAACCTACCACCTACAGTCGGCCATTCGTAAAGCTCAACAGTCATCCTCTGCAAGCGCTCGCCAAACGGCTCAAGAGAAGCAACAGGCTCATGACAGACTCAAAAGACTAGTTATCAAAGCTGCCGGAATATTCAGAGAAATCGAAGAATGGGACAGCACAGCTCCAGTTGGAATGGGTGGAGAAGTAAACGGTTTTCTTGAAGGTTTTCTAGAAGAGGTCTTGGTCCGCGTGGAAGCGGAAGAAGACGATGGCAACAATAACGTAGTCAGAGAGGGCGAAAACAGAAGATGGTAGTTCAGTATCATAGCCTTTTTCGCTTCCTTATCTGCTTCTTCTTAACTTTAATTAGGGGACCTGGGTTGTAAACATGACTCGTGGTTTTTTTCTTATCTTCTCTTTTGTAAAGCTAATGTCCTCTCTTTCTTCTACTTTTATTTGGGTGCTTGCTGAAGGCGAGTAATGTGTTTCTTTCTCCCTTTTTCTTGTCTTTTTTATGATTCCCCAATTGCGAATTTGTAATCGCGATCCCTGAGACCTACACACTAGAGAAGTGATGTCGCCGGGTAGGCCCAAGGAGAGAAAGCGCAGCCAGTATGATATGACAACAGGATGGATGAATTGGATGGATTTGGATGAACTGGATGGGAGGGAAGATTGGTCGTGGCGTTAGGCTCTAATTGTGTTTTAATTGATTGGCATTAGGTGGAAAGAATGGATGTGGGGGTGTGGATGAAGGGAACCGATGGTTAAACGATAATGAAACTGGTTTGCATGATTATACCACACTTTTTTTCCCCATGGATACGTGTGCTTCTTGGGATATGTATGAAAACATCATACCGCTACTTTCTCCCTTCCCCTTTCTCTCCCTCATTATCAGACATCCCCACTCTGAACCTATCAATCGACCCGATATCAACACCAACCATCCAACCACAAAAAAAACATTCAAAATGTCAAAACCTCAAGACCCCGACTCCCAAGCGGAAGACATAACCTCCCTAACCAGCCTCTTGGAAACAATGGCTCAAACAGTCCCCATCCCCACCCCCGTCCCCCCTCCTCCCGCACCATCAGTCTAACCCACCCCCAGACCAAAGATCGCAAAACCCGCCGACGCGCCAAAATCCAGGCCTCGTACGCGGCAGCACTAGCCGAGATCCGTGCCGAAGCGCAGGAAGCGTTCGAGGAGAAGAGGAGGCAGCAAAAGGCGCGACAGAGAAAGGCCCTGCAGAGGCTTCGCGAGCTGGTGAGGAGGAAGGGGGCGCTGGAGGGGGAGATTGAAAAGGTTCTTGGAGGCGTCGTTTCCGGTGTTTGCCAGGTGCTCGGGAGCGTTGGGGCTTGCTCTGAGGGTGAGGGGGAGGAAGGTGTTGAATGAGAAGGGACTGGATGGGGAGAAAGATGTCTTTCTCTCTTTTCCTTCTTTCTCGAGTGCTGTCATGGCATTATCGCACAGACAATAAAAATAAGGAATATAAATCCGTGCGGCCAGACTCGCAAGTTCTTAAGCTCACCACAGAAAAATACAATCATCAAAACCACATCACATCGTACCCCGGATATCATAAATTCATGTCCTCCGGCCAACATGTTCCTCCGCAAATTTGACCGGTTACCCGTATACAATATACCACCTCAACAGGAGAATGTGTGTATGGGGTTCTTCTTCTTCTAATGAAGGGAGTATGATACAGTACGGTACATTACCGTAGGAATTTATCTTACCGAGTGAGTTTACGTGATGTGCGTACTCCCCCGACCGTTTGTGGACGATCTATCTATACATAGTATCGCGACATGTGTCCGAATACCTGAAAGAAAAGAAAGAGTGTGAATCAAAGTCTCCAAGTTATGTTTTCTACTCCCCCGGAGAGACGCTCCACTCGTGCGTGCTCCGCCCGACTAGCACGGGAAAAACTCTACACAAGATACGGACAAATATCCGCCGCGAGTGAGATGTTATGCATGACAGGGCAGTTCCTTACCTACCTACCTACCTACCGTGCAACAGCCAAGGAAAAAAACTCCAAGGCATCGGGGCTATCGTACTAGCTGTCCCACATTTATGATGGTGAGCTCTGGTGGTTGGTGGGGAGGTTGGGGTTCTGATATTCGGATTAGTTGGACGGTACTGTACACTTGTGGTGGGTGCCAAGTGCTTTTAGTAGTGTAACGGTAATGCCCGCACCAAGGTGGCCAGCTAACGAGCATAACGATGCAAGACCCACCAACGTCGTTTAAATGGCAGTGCTATCCTCAGGATCGTGTACTGCGCGGGTACTGTACGACTGCCAGTACGCCGTCAGCCGGCGTATCATGAAGGAGTAGCCTTCACCCTACCAAGGGAATAACGCATGTCTGTACTAGTACAAGCGCAAGAGACCCCCAATTTAAAATCCTCATAAATTCTTAACTTATACAATCCCTACCAACCAATTTTACCACCCCCCCGCGAACCAATCAACCATCATCTCGTCATTCCCGCATACCCCCCCCCCCCCCCGCCAAAATATATCAAAAAGGAGAGTATTAAAATACAAGTACATATTCAAAAGAACGTCACCGCACCTTACACCCACGTCGACCCTAATGCACGTACCCATCCCACAACATCTCGAGAGGAGTAGCAGAATCTGTGGCTGTTTTTCGTCTTCAGAGTTTTCGTACAATATAGATAGAGACCCCGCCAAATAGAGTGCGAGCGTTATGAAAGGGAGGAAGAAATTGAACAAAATTTTGGGGCTTGGAATGTGGAGAGGGGTATGAGCTTTCCCCGGATAATCCAGAAAGGAAGTAAAGAGATAAAACGAGATAGGAGAAAAAGAAAAGAAAAGGTTGAACCAAATGTATTGACGTCAAGAAATCGAAAGAGCAAGGAAAAGAGAAGGAACTGAAGAAAAAAGCTGACAAAAGAGAACCTACAACTCCACCCCAGTTCCACTGAAGGAGCTGTCTTCCGCTATGATAAATTCCAAACACGCGTAACAAAGGGAAAAAATGAACTCTTTTTTTATATCATATTTCATTTACTTCCCCTTGATCCAGGTGGTGGTGCCTGGAAGCTGACAGACCGCGGCGTCGGTGGAACCGCACCGATTGCCAATGCTGGACTTCGTAGTGGAGGTTCGACGCCCAGTTCTTGCGGGCCCTGTGAACTACCCGGAGGGGTGACGGTAACGCTGGGATTGATCCCCCTCGCGTCATCCCCTCCAGCCACCTCCGGTGCCTTATGTGGAACCGTGGCGTAATGCCCCGGAGGGGGCCTCATGAGCACTGGAACCGCCCGGCCTTCCTCCAGCTCCTGGGGTGAGGTGGCGGATGTCAATTTGTTGTATGCGGTGTTTGCATTCGTCTCCGGGTCGTTTGTCGCGGCGGCGGCCTCCTCGGCTTGTTGTTCGTGGAGCTTGGCGAGCCATAAATCGCTGCGTGCCTTGTCGCGGATATCCATGGATTTACGGAGGCGGCGCTTGGAGGTTAGTCTGTAAAAGGCGAATGCATAGACGGCGATCGAGACGCATTCAACCGAGATCTCGATGATAGCACAAACGAGGACCCAATCCTAGCTCCTTGTTAGTCTCTTTAGCGAGGAGGTAGGGGGATGATGGGGTATCACCTGTTGACGACAAACAAGACGATAGTTAACCTCCTCCTCGAAAAGTTTCCGTCTATTATTGTCCTTGCAAGCCCATCCCCACAAATCCTTCCCCTCGGAGCTGTTGCGACTACCCTGCATGATGCCCGCTGCTATAGCCCAAATTACGATCGTGAAGATGAATGTTCCAACGGCAAAGACAGTCCAGTAGACAGCAACTTTCTCGGCCCGATTGTGCCCGCCCCGCCAGTAAGAATACATGATATAGAGCGAGATTACCAGGGACACGCAAGCGATACACAGGACAGTTATTTGTGGCCATTGAGGGGTGTTGACAGCCCAAGGTGGAAGATTGTTACGAGGAGGCAGAGCTTTGGTTGCATTGAAGATTGCGAAAGTTGAAGCGATAAGGGCGAGAACGACGAGACTACAAGCACAATTGATACCCCGGAGGAAAATCTTAGCCAGACGGACTTTCAGCTTGACAGCCTATAAAATTCATTAGCATCCAGGTCTCAAAGATCACACGTCAACAAAAACCCACGATCACCAAGTGATATCCCGTGACTCAAAACAAAAAAAAAAAAAGGAGGTAACCAACCAAATCCTTCTTGTCGAATTTCCGAACCTTCTCGTCATACTTGGAAACCTCCGCCTCCTCCTTAAACGTTGGAGTCTTCAAAGCGGGCGTCAAGGGCGTCATCGGCACAGCGTATCCACCATCCGCCATCACCATTCTTGGAGTCCGAGGCGTTGGCCCGGGAACCGCGCCAATCTCCCCGTTCACCACACCCGACGTGGTGGAGTAAGCACTCACGGGGGCATAAACCGTCTGCGAAGTGTTCAGGTGCTCCGAGTACTCCTGAACCGTCGGAGGCGGAAGAACCGCCACAGGAAGGGGCGGCGGAGGATACTCCTGTGCAGTTCCAACCACGGCGTCCTGAAGTTGCTGTTCACGCGTAGATGCCATTATGGGCGCTTGTGAGTCTGCAGGGGAACTTGGAGATACGGGAGAGATGTGGTCCATGTCGGACGCTGGATCGGTATTCACGGTATTCACTCTTGGTTGAGAACCGGGTCTATAAAAGTCCTCTGGCTCTGATGATGATTGCTGAGTCTGCTGGTGTTGTTCCCTGTGTTGGGAGAAGCCATTCCCATCTACGGGTGAGTAGGGCGGGGGCTGGTTTTGGCTGACGGGTGAGGAAGACATGGTTTTCCTTGTTTTTTGTTTTTTTTTGGCAGCTTAGGGCGGCGGAGCAGCGGAGTGTCACCGGACGTGGCGAAAAAATTACTAATGATAAGCGTGAAAACGGTGGCGTTTTAGAGGTGCCTCTGTTCTAGGGGTTCGCTTCTGTCGACAGGGGAAATTATTAGAGAAGGGTTAGTTTGTAATTGCGAGACGCTACGAGCACAGCTCTAGTAAAAAAGTCTCGTCCGTGAAAAGGGAATATTAAAAAGAATGTACGCCTGGCCGCGAAAATAGAGCAGTTGGGGAAGGAACGAAGGTGGAGCGGAAGGAAGAAGGGAGAAAGGGAGGAAAGGAGGAGATGAAGGGGAGGAGGAGGAGAAGGGGAGGAGGAGGAGGAGGATAAGTATAGAAACAAAGCGTGAAGGGCAAGGTGGAAAGGGAGAAGAAGGGAAGGGAAGAAGAGATGCAAGTGGGCGGAAACGGTGATCAAATATGTTGGTAGGATTGGGGGGATAGGGATGAAGGGGGGGGGGGAGTAGGAGGCGGGAGAACCAACCGACCAGCCAACAGCCAGAGGGGGTGGACGAAGAAATGGGTAAAATCTAGAAAACGGGGGGGATTCAGGAACATAAACTGGGACTCACATAGTTGATGCTGCCGGGGCACGCACGCACATCAGAAAAGCCAAAGCCGGCGCCTTTTCCTTATTATTTTTTTATTTTTTTTCTTCCCAATTAAAAGACGACAAAGCGACGAACGATGGATGAATCTCGGACACGCAGGGCCGAACGCAAGAAAAAGGCGGAAAGAGACAGATATTTAATAATATCAACCCTCGACCAATTAAAAGGGTCGGGGTGCACTTGTAGGGATGTGAAGGATGGATGAGAGGGGGGAAGCGAAGTTGAAAGGAAAGGGAAAGAGGTGAGGGAAGGGTTAATGGATGCGATGGTTGTTCTTTGCTTGTACTGGTACCCAGAGCAACTAAGCGGGTGAGTATGTGGGGGGAGGGGCCTCACAAGTACGAGTACGCACCGTAGAACGCAGGAAAGGAAGAAACCAAGTTTTCTGGCTGGCTCTTGGAGACTACCGTACCGGTATGCCCTCCCACCTTCTACAGTAACCAAGTTCTCTCCCCGATCCCGTTACAAGTGTACGACGAGTACGGTATCCTCTCCAATCAACCAACCAACCAACACTCCCAGGTGAGAATACTGTACAAGAACAGGACATACTAGTACCGATACTCTCGTTGAGCGCAATGCAAGTGAGGAAACAAAAGCAAATTGGATGAAGGGAGGAGGGGAGGGGAAATCCCTGTCGTCCAATGGCCGTGCGAGAAGGATGATTCGCAGCTGGCGGCTCTTCCAATCAGGGACAAGGATCTCTGAAGCGCCGGCAGCGGCTGTAGACAGAAGCGAGTTAGAGGGCCAGTCAATCCCCCCCGTCAGAGGTCAAGTTAATTCACGCCTCGCACCAATCAATTAAACCCAGTCCACCATGGCCGCTAAACTAAGCAAAACTGTCTTCGAGTCCCGGTACCCACCCACTCAATCCGGAGGCGAAAAAATTGTAATCCTCGCACCCAACAAGCCCCCCCGACCAATCAACCCCCCAGAATCCACCAATGGTGTAACAACCCCCCAATCGAAAAGGGTAAATACCGAATCACCCTTCGCCCGGATGCAGTAATCCCTTCGGACTCGTGTGTGAGTTGCCAGCAAAAGTGCCGTGGCAGTTGGAGCTCACACGACCTTTCCCTCCCCGTCGCTGGTCGGTAAGTCGAACTGTACGAGTAGGAGTATGCACTACCGGTCGAGTACTACCGGTACTACGGTAGTACTCGTACGAGCACAGTTACCAGAGCCCACACAAAAGACGAAACACCGCCACACTTTTAAGGCTTCCACGAAAGCCGCTTTCGTCCCTCTTTCAATGAACAAAGACGAAAGACGACACACGATGACCACAACGACTTACTACTTAGACCCTCACCTACCCCCCTCCCTCCCCTTCCTCACCATCCCAGAAAACCCAAAGGTTTCGATCCATCCATCCTCTGATCATCCCTTCCCGCAAGGTACAAGTACACACTACACACCACGAATCCAGCACTCCGCGGTCCCTCATGTGCGATAGGCAGAACCGCCAAGAACCCCGACCTATTCCGGGCAACGCAACAGCGAAAATCCCAAAATAGCTCCGTGGCGTAACACAACCAACCACAAATAACAACCCAAGGAAACAACACTAAATAACGCACATCGGGCAATTCTATAATTAGGCCTTTTTTTTTAACAACAATGCCAGAATTGGGGGCAATTTACTTGCAGACCCTTTTCCCGGAAACAGGGTGTTTTTGCTCCCTTTTTTCCCTTTTTGCCGGCTGCATCGTGCAGGGTTGAACGCGTGGTGGTTCTTCTTTTATCACCTGCTTGGGCATTCATGGAATGTACTGTACCCGAGAAATCGTAGATGGATAAAAAAAGGACTTGCCATCATATTGCATATAAATTTATTATATTAATCCCTTCTGCTTGGATCCGGGTTGGTATGCGATGGACTAGCCAGCACTTTTTTCTCTCTCTCTTTCCTTTTTGAAGACGCTTGGACAATGCGAGGGACTGAGTAATCGTATCACCAATCTCATCCATTTAGTCCACCCATCGTGGGGTAACGTGTAATACCGGTATCATGTTTGCCTCTGCTTATCGTGCCCCAGATACCGTTGTCCACCGATTTGTCTGGTGGATAAGTGGGTGAGTGAGTACCGATACCGGTAGAAGGAGGGTTCGAGAAGATTTATGTGAAGGAAGGCCTGACATCAGCATCTTGTAGCTCCAGAAGCACAAACATCACTACACCACCACACTGGTAATCATATACTTGTATTATCATATCGTAGAATATCGGCACTGTCGGTAGTATTATTATTATTATGGTGGGAAAAAAAAGGTAAGGAAGAAAAAAAAAGACTCTCTAGAGCCACGTGTACAGTACTCGAGTATAACAAGAATGCTATCCGTATCGTAATCGTCTCAAAGCTCGCCCCACATTCGTGTGAATGGCGAGATACCGGTGCTGTGCTTCGAGGACACCAGCTGGAGCAGCGGTATCAACGTGCGGCTGAAGAAAAGGTGCTGTGTTGCTTACCGGTAGCAACCACACTGGTCCGGGTTACAGTATCGGAGGCCAGCAAGCTGCCCCAGTTCACCTCAGCTCCTGGCAACCTGGCCAGTGACTTCATTGAAAACTGGAGCCTGGCCTTCCATCTGCACTAGCTTTGCTGTAACCCACCACCTCCTGCGGAAGAACACATCTCTCTACCGGTAGACTACAATTGTGCCCGGTGGCTCCCCCATTTTCACCATCATCGGCAATCACTCGAGTGCGCCCAGTGCCACTTTCTAGCTCAACCAACTGCCCGTACGCTATGGCCCGCGCCGCAGGCCAACCCTAACCCGTAAGTGGAAACAAAGCAAAAAAAGTTTCCCCCACCATTGAAAGTGCAGAGCAAAGACCACCGACCCTTTCTCAGTGGAACTCCCCCCCCCATTTGTTGCGCTTGATACTCCAGAACGAGGATCAAAGAAATATAATAATATATTAATTATTATAGTAAAATAAATCTGAGCCTACATGAAGGCCAATACGAAATACCCATACCGGTATACCCCCCCCGCGCGCGCTTTGGCCTACCCATTGCGTGCGGCGGGGCTGCCGTTGTGGAGCAATTTCGCAATTTTGTGCGAGGTAAGAGTACCGTACTGTATCGGCTAGCCTCAGCGCCAGGAGTTAAAAGCCAAACCATGGTACCGAGGCAGATACCCGGTTTGAAGTGAATGACGGAAAGAAACATGTTAACTGCAGAGTCCCGTACAAGCATTTTTACCAATCTCAAGACTCGAAAACCCTTCATCAAACCATGCTGTGGAGATCCGTAGACCTCCCACTTGAGTTACTGGTATTATGCCGGCGTGTCTCCACTATGGTGCTCGGCGCTCGAGTGTTTGTGCGATATCAAAACGGGGCGCGTAAATAAGCAAGCATCCCGCATCCCATGATCTGCGACCATCCTCCCGCGCGCGCGCCGGGCTCGACCTCGGTCAAGTGCAGGAAGTGGGAGCCGCCCTCAAACTCAAATCTTTTACTCTGTATCTGCGGTACCGTGCCGTAATGCCCCCTTCCCTCTCTCCCCCCCGTACTGGGGGAACAAGATCGAGGTACTCCGGTACGCGCCGACCACGTGCGTTTCATCACCTATGGTACTGTGCTCACCCGTATCTACGCACATGTACCCCAACGCATAGGGTAAACCTCCAAAAGTGGTTATCATGCACCCATCCATACCGCACAGTAAGCAAGAGCGGGAAGGCAAGCGAATTTTAGTTGTATACAGGGTAAGGGAAGTAAGCCTGAGACGTCGTTGACACAATTAATGCCACAGCATGGGAAAGCACATGGTACTGAGGGTACCGGCGTTGTGGCGGATGCTGGAACGGACGCATTGGTAATTGTTTTGAAAGGTGTGGTATGATACCGAATGGGACTTGTTGCGGTTTGTGGCGCTGCAGATAGCATCGTTTTTCCTATTTGTGTCGTGTTGGATTAGTATTTAGATAGCAGGCCTGGAACCCCAAAGCTTATGTAGGCAGGTTTCTCGGCGACCGCGATGTGAGCTGGCATTGGAATAGTGACCTTTGTCAGATCTGATTCACAGAATCTGGGTTCGATTTGGTCGGGCAATGGGCTCATCTCACGATGGGTGCGACAGCATGATTTGTAACTTTTTGTTTGAAATGCCTGAGCAGGAAACCGAGTGAGATGAAACGGACCAAAGCCACGCTAGGGAACGGAGTATGGTTCTAAACCAGATCAACGGACAAAGGTTTGAGAGAAAAGGTGTGTTGGATAAGGTGCGGTGTGATGGTAGTGAGATGTCAGAAGCGGGGGTGGCGACCCCAGGAATCCAATGTTTGCGGGGGGATTTGTCGGGGGGGTGGGAACAATGTGGTGGGAATAGTAATTGGGGTAGGGGAAGAAAAGTGCAAGAAGTAACCTCAGCAGATATGAAAACGGGCAGGAGGGGAGGGATAGATGGGAGTCATGGTGGGACAAAATAGATTGACTGTTTTATTTAAAGGTAAGAAATGATGATCATCTCCCTTGAGGTATTTTTCTGGGAGGAGCCTTCAAAGAACATAAGAAACCTGATCCACCATGACAACTGGCACAGCAGAGTGACTAGGCAATAACCCCCCTTCGTGTAACCCATTATGTCAACAAGGCGAAACCGTTGTTCCCGTGATCTCAATCATGGTAGCAAGAGCTGGACATGCTGACACAGTCTATCTTCATCTTCAATCACTCGCATTTTGCTCCGAACCACATGACTGTAAGGTGAAGGTTGGTTCGCGGATAGGAGACGGGGGGCTGTGTAGCTAAAAAGAGAAGGAGTATGATATTACAGCTGCGGGGGATTGGGTAGCGTGGCTTACTGGAGTCGGTGATGGGTATTCCAAGTCTTGAACGCAAACCCCAGATGAAGCAAAGGGGGGTAAAAATATAACTTTCGGAACATGGCGGAAGAGAGGGCCAACTGCGGGCGGGACGAGAGAAAGGAATTTGAGGGGATAAGGAGGGAACGGGAAGACCGGATGTGATACGACTGAGAGCAAGTTGATATGAGTGATAGTTATGATGGCTTCGATGCTAGGTGAGGACGGGAGGTGGATGTGACTACTAGGCTATACACAACCAAAAATCATACTAAAAATGAATCTTGGGGGGGGGGACGAGAAACAGGTAGAAGCGTTTTCTCTTTGTGCAAGTGGATATCCCTCTCTCTCAATCGGAATATTATGGGTTACCAAACCAGGCCACAGCTCTAT